ATCCTTACTGCTCCAGCACCRCAGATTACCAGTTGTCAAAAGATTTTCCAGCCAGCAACAGCCTTTGCAAAACTGGGTTTAGTTTTGTTTACAGCCACGTGTAGCCTTGTGGCCAATTCCAGCCCAGAAAACTCTCAGCAGTGAAAACTCGGGGCAGCCTTCCAGGTCCATGACAGTTGTCCAGCCTGACTTCATCCATGTCACGTGGCAGTGGCCACTGTGGAGTTTGAGTATGTTAAAATAGCAGAAAAGCAAAGAGGCTGCACTTGAGGTAAGTACCACTACATCAGAACAGAAAACMGTGAAATTAGATTGTGGCTGGATTTAGAGATGCTCCACACCCAGCACAAGTCCCTTCTGAGACTACTGAACTTCACAAAAGACTGAATTATGAGMTAAAAACCAAGGAAGGAAGAGCTACACATTAATCCTCCAGGTCYACAGTCCTGCAGATTAATGAGACTGTGAGGCACCCACTAATCTCACTCCAAAGCAAACATTTTGCAGGCCCAGGACAACAAAAACTACCACAGGCCACAGCCAGGTCACACAGGTTGCACTCTCACCAGTTGCTAAGGACAGACTTTCAGGCAGTGAGTCCTGTGCCCACCTTCAGTCATCACACTTGTGTCCAACACCAGGTGAACCCTCMCAGCCAAACAGAAATTCTCTTCCTGGGTGTTGCAATATCAGACAGATTATTTAACCACCTGGGCTGGAGGGACAGTAAAACCAGCCACAAACTGCTTAATAAACACAAACACACTGAGCTGAGGAGCTCTCTCCAGACAGTGTCCAAGGCAGAGGTGTGTTCCAGCCGTTGKGAGCTGGTCTGTGCTAGTCCTGGCAAATCCAAGGGCACCTCCCAGTTGATACACAAAGCAGCCTGCTCCACTACAACAGGATTCTGCTTTAACAATCTACAGAGAGGGCATGAACTATTTACATTAGCCAAGTTACTGCTCCCAGGTCTTGCTCATCCATAGCTGGAAATCCTAGCAGCACGGGAGGTATGAAACGCCCTACCCTGCTGCTTTCCCGAAAGGGAAAAAAAAGCTGCTTTCCCTGCCTCTCCATTATGCTGCTGCTGTCAACTCCCTCAAATTGCATTTCAGCACATGACAGCAGAGCAGGGAGAGGAGGAAAGTCCTCAGCAGCATCGTAGCTGTGCTGCAGGCAGCTGTCAGCACTGCTGTCCCTTCCCTCTGCCATCCCCCTGAAATGGGCTTGCCCAACAGAGCTTATACTTGCCAGGGGTACATGTGCCAGTGCTCCTACCACAACTGCCCTTCAGAGGCCTTCAGGCAAAAATGACCTGCAAGAAACATCAGGGAGAGGTTTTCCTTCCCCCTCCATCACACAAAAACGCATCCTGTATTTGGGATGGGATTTGGAAGTAGAAGCATAAATCTATTCCTAACTCTGGTTTTGCAAGGGCTGCAGAAAGCCAACCCCTGACTGCTTTCCTCCAAGGAACAGTGCCCACAGCTTGGTAAGAGCGTGTCAGTCTGGATAAAGCAGCACAGGAGCCTTGTGTGAGGACAGCTTTGGACAAAACATATCACTTGAGACTATTTTCCATCCTTCKACTCCCCCAAAAGAGATTCTARCTAGTGCAAATCCCCACCACCTTGYACTGCAGAGCAGTACCACGTGATGCCTCCACACATCCCATCCAAATGTTTCTCTGAATAATGCAAACAGTAGCTTGGCCTCCTCGCAGGGGAGAGCAGGCTCAGGGTGAGCAACACCACGCTTGGCCTCCAAGGCCAGCTGAAAACATTTCAGGTCACCCTGACACCCACACACACTCCCAGCYTTATTTCAGCTCATCAACTTTGCTTCTTGTTATGAGGGGCAACCACAGCCTCCAAAACTCACCCTGGGAGCAGCTGGGCACCACCAGCAGCAGCAGCACAGGAGTGGGGCTCCCTCAAGACAGCAAGGAAAGCACATTTAATTTAAATTCCYGCTGACCTGGGTCAGGAACACTGCGAGGTGACATCGTGGCTCGGGGCAGCAGCTGCCCTGTGTTGAAATCTTTCCCTAAAGCCCAATGCTTTTTCCACTTAATCAGACACTGACAGTTCCCCTCATGAACGCAGGGAGGGAACCACAGCAGGGCTGGTAATTAGGAGAGAGGTGTCATTCAGAAGGAATATAATTTCCCATCCTCAGGAATTAAGCTTTCTCAAGGATTGTTACGAATTTAAAACCACTGCAAGCCCTAAAGCACTGACCCAGAGGAAAAACATCACTCCCRAGATGGTCCAAAATAAACCTGAAATTCTATAAAAGTGACATGAAGRCTGCTGAAAATGAGATTATCCCAGCTCAGTGAGACATTCCTTATTATCTCTCATCTCAGTGCTTTGGCAAGGATAACTTATTCAAGCCATCAGGATGCTGCTAAGTGGCTTTTTCCCCCTTTTTCCTGTTTTCTCTGCCTACCCCTCCCTTAGTTCCCAGATTTCCCACTTCCAGTAACCTGCTTAAAAACAAAATTACTCCAGACTAATGGTCACTAACTCCTTATTAGTTCTATTTCAAACACAGGAACTCCYAGTCAGTACACAAACAACCTTATCTCCTGAGCTGCTACTGGGAGACAGCTGCTGTCCCCAGGCAGCTGTGTGCTTCACACCTTCTGCTGTATTTAAAAAAGGCACCTATCCCACTGGGACAGATCCTACTGAGAGTAATCCCAGTTACACAAAGCAGCTTGAAACCCTACCATCACTTTAGCACACACACAGACTTGGAATTAATGCCTTGCTTTTAAGTAGCTACAATAATGTCCAGATTCAATAATTTAAAGGGAGTCTTAAAATATCTCCAAATCAAATCCATCTGCAAATAAAAAAAAAAAAAGAAGAAAAAAACCAACCCCAAATTTCCAATGAGAGGAATTAGTGGTGCAGTTCTGACTGTCCTAGAAAGAATGCAGCTAGTGGCAAGCCCCAACACCCAGCACCACCAGCACTCAGACACAGCAAACCACTCACAATGGCTTTAGAAAGACAAAAATAAAAATAAGAAACCCATTCCAAATTAATGAATGGGAGCTTCTTCCAGCAGGCACTAAACAACACCCGAAGGGTTCCACATCTCTTGCACTTGTGCTTCTCCAGGTTGCTAATCAGCTCCTGGCCCCTGGGATGTGTTTCCTGTCTCTCTCCAGCTGTGCAGGAGCCACCGGAATTGGGTGTTTGCCCCACCTATTTTTGCCACAGGACTTTTTAGTGATTTGTGTCCAATTTCAAAGCGCAAGTCTCACTGGCGGCAGGAACGCCCACTGCATTCTCAGGAAGACAAAGCACTGGGCTACCCAGGAATTTGGACTTCCGAGGCRGCTCCTGAAACTCCAGGCCAGGAACAGGCTGCCAGCACCCTGCTGGAATCCTTATCACCAGTTACACCTGCTCAAGAGCTCTTCTAGGAACTGCTGTCCTGCCCTGACTGTCTGCAGCCAGGCCAACCTACAGGAAAACATCCTAAGAAGCAAGAAAAAAAAGATGGAAGAAGGCCTGTTACCACAGTGTAGCACCTCAAAGCAGGCTGAATGTCTACAGATCTTCAGGAAGTGTGTCTGAGTCCTTTCCCAAGTCTTGGTGTTCCAGGCAYAAACTCTGTCAAGATGATTGTTTGTTAACATCCAGTCACACCACAAAGACACCCAGCACATGAAATCCATTAACATGTTTACAACTGCAGAAAGCCTGATGTAAGGCAGTGGAATTTTTGCACAGCATTCATCCTAGAAATTAAAAGCACATATTAAAGCTGTAAATCCCACAGTTCTGGAATTAAAAGCTGCAATCCTACTAGTCCTACAGAAAATGGATTCTACCATATGGTTGAGCTGCACATCCCTATGGCCCCACACCTGTTCAGGGATGAACCAGAACCTGCTCGAGATTTGGGTCTGCACAATGAAGGGTCTCAGATTTCCTGCCTCACCTTCCAAACAAGCTGCTGGAGGAAAAGCCCTCATGCCATCCTCTCTGAAAGCAGGAGAGGCCACTTTAGCTGAGCATGCAAAGGCCAGTCTAAATGCCTGATGGGGTCACCTGCCCTTCCCTCCACTGCTACCACTGGAAATCTGCAACAGCTCCAAAAGTGCAYCAGGTGGGAGAGCAGAAATTGTTAAGAAAGAGGAACCAGCTACCACAGAGACAGAATGGAGAAACAGGGATCTGCCCACAGATCTTAGCGTCAGAACTGCCCATGCCTCTCAGCCACCAAGGCACTGAGTRATTGCCTCTACAACTGCTGCCCAAAGCAAAGCAAGAGCCTCCTGTTCCATAGGGCAAAGCAGGGAGCTGGGAAAGAAACACAAGAAKGAATCCTCTGAAAAGCACATGGACATCAAGCTTTAATCCCTCAGCATCACACCTGGATCACGGAAATAAAAGTGCACAGCAGCAACATCACATTTTCTCTTTCAAAGCATCASAAGTCTCAGGACAGTGACCAAAACATAAGGAACTGAACAGAAATATCAACAACTAATTTGTATGAAAACCACAAAGCATTTGTCAGTAAGATTCCAAAGTAAGGTATTGGAGGATGCTCAACACAACACTCCAGGTCATAAAACACGGGTGAGATAAAAGGAAAAACCTCCCGGGGTGGATTCACAGGTGCAAGCAGCCGTTATCCACACAGCTGCAAAGCCAGGGGATCCATGGGATGACRGCAACTCTTTAAGCCAACCTACATTTCACCCACCCCAAATCAGTGCCCCAGGCAAGCTCACACTCCTCTCTTCACACACACACACGGGAGTTCCCCACAGCTCTTCAGCCTCAGAAGACTGCGGTGGGATCCTGACCTGTCTCCAGCCGTGTGGGGGAACAAGGTCAGCTCCAGAGTCAGAAAAACCCCATTAACTAAATCTAGTGTGCATTGACACATCCAGGCTGTGCTCTGTCTACCACGCCGAGCCGGCACTCGGATCAACAGAGAAGGGAAAGAGGAGGAAGAGGAGTATCTCTTACACTGATCCCTCAGCTCCAAGGACAGCTGTGTTTGGGGTTTCTTTCCTGMAGCGGCTCCCACAGCAGATGCCTGAAATGTCGYGATGTCCCAACGGCACAGAGTGCTCCCACACTGAACAGGGGTCACAAGAGAACCGTCTTTTATATTCCTCTCCCCAGCAGCTCCGGGTTATCCCCGTCTCAAACAGCCGTGAGGAGCCCCGGTCCCCGGGGTGGGACACAGGGGTGGCGCAGGACCCCGAAAGGACCTCCTGACCCCGGGCTGAGGGAGAAGGGACCGGCCCTGAGGGGATGGAGGCGGACGGAGAGAACCCAGTGCTAAGGGAAGCTGGAGGGGGAGAGGGTGTGCCCGATCCTGAGGGAAAGTGACGAGGAAGGATTCGGCCCTAAATGAAAGTGGAAGGGTACGGGGGGACGGACACGGGGAGCCGTCCCTGAAGGAAGGCGCTAGGGGTGGAACGACCCGTCCCTGACAGGAAGAGAGGGGGAAGAAGCGGCCCTGAAGGGACGCGGGGGGAGAGGAACGGACGGAACGGACACCCGGCCCTGAGGGGACGCGGGAAGAGCGGAGGGGAAAGAACCGTCCCTGAAGACAGGCCCCAGCCGGAGCAGCACCCGACCCCGCAGCAAGGGGTCCGGCGAGGCCCAGGGACGCCCCCTCTGTCCCGGCACTCACCGGCCCCGCGGGACCGAGGGGCTCCCCCGGCACTCACCGAGCCGCCGCTTCCGCCCGGCCCCGCTTCATTTAACCGCCGCTCCCGCCGCTTCCGCCCGGCCCGCCACACGTGACCGCGCCGCCCCGCACCATAGAGACACGGCCAGCGAGGGACAGAGCGGCACGAGGGGGCGGGCGGGCCCGGCCCGGCAAACCGACCATAGAGACAGGGGGCGGTCATCCAGCGGCGCGCCACGCCCCCTGCCGGGCGGGCGGTGTTCCCGTGGGGAGGGGGCGGGGCCTGAGGAAGGGGGCGGGGCCAGGCTGCACGTGTGTGCGGGGCGGGGCTGGGAGGGCTCAACTTTTTGGGGTGCTCAACTTTTTGGGGTGTTCCAAGGGACCCCGCCTGTCCCCGCCTCAGCCCTCGGTGCTCGTGAGGGTCAAGCGAGTGACAGGGACCCCCGGACACCCTCTCGGAGACACCTACTCTTCCTATGTCCTGTAGGAAGAGTAGAAAATCGAACTTGAGGGATTTAAATGATTTGCCAAGCTGCCAKGGAAGAGATAGCCGATTCTTTGAGATCTGCAGGATTTCCCGAGAGAAATGAGAAAACTTTAATTGTGCTCTCAAGAAGTTCACGTCGCAGAGAAGTCCTGGAGCAGCCCCTCTGCGGCACATCCCACCCTCCGGAGCAGGCTCCAGGGATCCTCTCTTGGCAATGTCTGGGCATCAAAAAGAAAGTAGAAATCAGGAAAACTTCACAAAACGTACTTATTGAAGAAAACAGCAGGACCAGTGTTTGACAAAGCACTGAAGGACTAACACCATTTCCTGCTCTAAATCATGAAATCGTTCAGTCCCTGCCACTGGCTGACACGAGGGGTGGGCGACAGCAGCTCCCGGGTCATTTGTTCATATTGTGAAATTACTCAAAGAATAAAAAGCATTTTATTTTCGCTCCCTTCTTTAAATTGTATTTTTTTCTTTTTAACCAAATTATGGGCAGAAGAAATCGCAGCTTTCAACATCAGGGAGAGAAGCCCACACCAACACTGCTGTACCATCCTCACCTTCCTTCCCCATTTGCAAAACAGTAGTAATTAGAAAAAAAACTAACAGGAAAGCAACGATTCATCACTAGTATTGAATCTTTCTCCAGTTTTTCATTAAGGGGTTTTCATTTCTTTCTGCAAACTGTTTTGGCAAAGTATCAGGATAAATAATAAGGTAAGAAGGGAAGAAGATTAAGGTAATTAATCAGCTGAAGAAATGAATGAAACAATGTTCTCCCTGCAGAGGAGGACTTTCATCTGGGCAGTCCAYACAGATCTGTTAAATCAGTTGCATTTCCATACCTTGTCCACTCTTYTCCTCTGATTCCCATAWTTTAACRAACAAAACAGTGGATACCAAGAGTTTAAAGTTGTGAGTTTATTGCATATGTAACAAAAATGAACATGACCTCCTGGGTCCAGCCTACTATACAATCACTGTTTATTCCAGCTGGTTCCATAACCACATTAAATAGAACTAGTATTTCTTTAAATACTTTGATTTAGACATAAAATGAAACATTAGTGTACAACTTTCACAAAATAAATCTGCAATAAAAACAGTGGGAAGAATAACAAGGATAGCAGCAATACTTAAACATGACATTACAAAATAATAAATTAAAAAAATACATTATAAAGTGGTTGAGGAACAACAACAAAACAAAAAAAAAAATTAACAGATTAAAACCAGATCCATACTGTGTTTCTGGGAACTTGCTGTGCCACACGGCCCCAAACCTGGGCACTGGCTCCAGAGGGCCYGGTGGCTGGATCAGTAATTTACAAAATCTGTTGGATTTTACAACCACCTCAACTTGAACTGAGGACAAACTGCTGAGCGAGCGCCGATCGCACCGTCTGGAGCTTCGAGCAGCCTTTTTGGAGCAGGGTCTCGTTTAACATAATGCCCAAGTGAACACTCACACCCATCCAACAGTCTCGTTTCTTCCCGGTGGAAAACACGAGCAGAGTGGTGGTTTCCTACATCCCTGAGCGTAGAGTATAGGCTGAGGAGCAGTATCAGGGCACTGCAGGGCTGGGTTTGCCGTTGGACAGGAACAACAGACACGCTGTACCTTGTATTTCCTTCGGGTCAGATCCAAGAGTATCCGCGCACAAGGTGGAACGTGGAATGACAAAATGAACACGGGACTCCATGGAATTCTTTGGGMAAGTTTGAGAAGTAACAACCAAGTTCAAGTGCTGGCAGACCGAGTGGGAATGGACACAAATTYAGACAGCTGAGGTTATGCCAGACCTGAGAGCCACTGGCTCAAGCCATGAAAACTCCTGTTGGCATTTTGTCCTTCCTTGGCCTTGGAACTGGGCACAGGAAGAACAGGCCATGGCTCCAAAGCCATTCTGCCTCGCTTCTTGCTGTTCCTCCATCCACCCAACCAGCTTTAAGGCCTGCCTCAAATGCACGTACAGAACAAGACAAAAATGTCTTCGTCGTCACTGAAGTGGCACAAAATTGCAAAGACAACATGATGGGAGAGGTGGTGAAGCTGTTGAAAAGAGAACTGAAATAATTAAAAAGACAGTGCCCTATTCTCGTTACTGTCAGCATGGAGGAGGTACCTTGACAAGGGCTTTTAAATACAGCAAAAAACAGACGGACTTTTCGAAACAACAATCCTTTCCTATTCTTATTTTGTGCATTCAATAAAACACTGACCTAGCAAAAACATAAGGATCTATTGTATGTCAACGGGGTCGTCAACATAAAGCTACTTGACCTATGGATCTCCAAATCAGGGGCCTTTCCCTTCACCTCACTTGGTTTGTACTGAGCCAGCTGTGCTGCAGGTGTGGTAGGATTTTTGTTAGGGGTGGGCTTTAGCATTTGGGTTTGGGTTGGGTTTTTTTACACTTTTTTTAGTGAAAAATCCACATGAGACTGCATGCAAAGCTTTTGGGCAATAATCCGTTTTGCACTTTTCCTATCTGACTGGTTTATTGCACATTTAAATGTACTGAAAGGATTAAATACACTCTATGAACAGGTTTGACTTCAAAGCCATTTGGGAAATCCAGGGTTGTGGGGACTCTGCTACTCAGCCCAGGCCGTAGGGATGCTGTCCGCCAACTGTTGCATTTCCTCTCCTCTCTGCAAGGGTTGTGTAGTTTKATTTACATCCCAACAACCAGAACTGCAAAAACTGGTCTCCAAGTGCCAAAAGATCCCTACAGAACRTGGGGCTGAACATGCCTCTCCTGTACAATCCTGCAGGATGAGCATCTTTAGCCACCCTGTGCAAATCTCACAATATGGTACAATTTTACACCTCCGATGCAACTCCCGACAACAAATCACAAGAATTATGGTCAATGGCAAAAAGAAAACCACAAACAAACAAAAACAGAGAAAGATGCCAGGGTTTTGACAAGTGTCTACTTTCTGTCCTATCACAGTTTAAAGCTATTATCAAATTCAATTAAAAAAAAGACAAAATAGAAGTATTCCAGTAGACATCTCCTAAGGACAATCTCTTACCCACAGCTGAATTTCAATGCATTATTCCATAAACGTAACATCTGTTAAGTGTTTCAGTCATGAATCTCTCCAAAAATCAGGCTTGCCAAAGAAAAAAAAATCCTATACAAGCAAGTCTGCTTAAGTTTAGACRTGTTTGATAGATAACTGGGTCTCTCTGAAGCCGTGTTATTTGTTAAAATACTGTCTCATCTTGGTGTGCAAACTGGAAAAATGTTAGTGATCCTGGTATTGGATTTGCCTTTGTTTCCCCTGTGTTAGAGAACAAATCTTTTAATATTAGTTTCAGATATTGGAAAAAATAGCCTTATATGGCTCTCTGGAGAAATTTTCATCCCTACAGAACTAAAGTCATAAATTCTTCCAATAGCTTTCTGTAACATTTAAAGTRTATTCACTGTATAGTTCCCTTTCTACCTCAATCTCCAAATAAACCTTTCCCAAGGCCAAAAAATTTGAAGCAGGAATTTGCTCWGTTAACTTGGCTTTTAGTGATTTCCATGTGAGTCTTACAATTTAAAGTTACACAAACACATCCTGGGTAAAACAGTAGCACAGAAATCACAGCTTTGGGATTGAATGGATTTTACCCTCTGTCTCCTCCTCACAAGACTTCTCRGCAAGGTACTTACATCTGAACAAACTATGGAAAGTAATTCTGCAGGAGGAAAGAATTGTTTTCATGTGCAAAACAATTAGATTTCAGCCAGGACAACCAAAAAGAAATCATACAATACCGTTTAAGCTGTCCCAGATTCCTTCACTTTTCTCAAGGTGAGCCACAGCTTCCACTGGGAGCTTCCTGCTAAGGCAGAACTTGGATTTCTTTACCTTTCAGTTAAGTGTTCATATGGAGGTATTTTCTGCTAGAAGTTTTACTTTTTAAATAGATGTTTAAAATGTGCAATGCAAAATCTGGTGCCAGTCAGACACTCTGCACCTGCTGGACTCTACAAAGGCTCAAGCTTGATTTAAGACAGACTAACCAGGTGCACCTACCAGTTACAAGTCCTCAGCAAATTAAGCTCATTCTCAAATACACTTTGATTCTCCTATTAAAAAAGCCCCACAGGTCACTGACCCTATCACAATATGTGTTACAAATCTAGCAGAATATCCTGTGTAACCAAAGCCAAATGCTGAATTTGGCTGCGTTTCATTTCAGGGGGGATGGAAGAAGAGGGAAGGGGTMGTTGTAACAAAGGGGAGAAAATAGTTTGGGAACCACCAAGAAAAGYCCCGACCCTCCCCCCCTCATCCACCAGCGGCGGAAGGGAAACAGCCCCATCTCTAAGTTGTCAGAGTTCGGATGCTTCAGACAGCTTAGCAGGAAGTTCACAGCAAGCTTCTTCTAGCTTTTGATTTGGTGGTCCATGAGCTAGCATCTGTTTCCTTTGGTTGCTTTTTCACTCCACAGCAAACCCACATGTCTCTTCCACAGCTGTCAACAGCTTCTCATAAAGCTTCTCATATGACTCGTAAGGCGGAATGTCGATCCGGTTAAAGCTGCAGGGAAAGTAACAAAACATTGATGGATCTGAAGAGCTTATAGGGGAAAAAATGTAAAGAAGCTACATATAGATAGAAATTTTAAAAACTCTCAGCTGCTTCAGCGGCCACAGGAGACTGAAAAGATGAAAAAAAACTATTTC